GAGGCGCGGAGTTGCTGGCAAGTGGCGCAGGTGCATTTTCTGCTTCCTGCTCCAGTTTCTACAGGACCACCAGGAAGGCAGAAAGGCCCCCAGGGCAGTTCCGGCCCGGCCATGGGAGGGTCTGCCGCAGCGAGAGCAGTGCTAGGGGCTTGCAGATGGTGCTGTCTCTGAAGGCTCTTGTCTGGGGCCGGAGTGGGAACTGCGATGGGCCCTGGGTCCTGGCCCTAGAACTCCAACTGGCATGGCCTTCTGACCTTGGCCCGGGCCTCTGGTGGCCAATCAGTGTGCTCACCCAGGGCCCTTGGCTGGCCTAACAACCATGGCACTGAGCAGGGCGGGGGCTTGGGCCAGACTCCAGGTAGACGTGGAGGACCCCAGCTTCGGACATGATTGGGCCCCTCACAAACTTCCTTTTCCCTTGTCTTAAAAGAATCACACAAGTAGCACATATCACAGTAAGTGATTCAAAAGGGGAATAAGAACCTATAGAAACCCTTCTTTACTGCTCCCCATCCCCCACTCCCCTTCCCAGCGGGGACCACTCTGAACAGTTGGGGTGTTGGGGGAGCTCAGAACAGCGGATAGAGTGGGGGCTGTGAACCAGGCTGCCTGCATCCAGTTTCTGTTCTGCTGCTTGTCAGCTGTGCAACCTTGGGCAAGTTACTTTCCCTCTCTGTGCCTGTGTCTCCCTGAACAGTGGGGGCCATGGGAGCCACCTCACAGAGCTGCTGTGAAGAAGAGACGAGTGACTGTTTGAAAAGCACATGGCCAGCCCTGGTCCAGGGCGAGTGTTCAAGAAGCATTCCGATCCCTCTAAGCTGTTCTGCACACTCGCCCGTTTCCTGCCTGCGTGCCCAGGCTGTGCGTTTCATCCTGCAGTTGCTTTTCCCTCAGTGCTGGGTCTTTTTCCTGTGCTGAGACTTTTCTGTGCTGAGGTCCTCTTTCTCCTTGTCTGTCCCACGGGGGTGGGGGAGGGGCGGGCGGAGGGTGATTTCTCCCTCTTTCCTTGTCCTCTGTCCACACCTTCCCTCACGAAAGGGCTGCTCAGCCGCTCGGATAGAGGTTAGGCGGCTGCTGAGGGAGGCCCGCACGCACTTGCACGCTGGTACGAAGCCTGCCCCGGCCTGAGCAGAGGAGCCCAGGAGGGAGCACCCAGTGGAAACTGCAGTGGGAACTGGGTGCCTGAGGGCCTGTCCCGGAGAACCCTGGCCCCTCCGCAGCCCCAGGGAACGCGCAGCAGGGCCCGAAGTCTCGGCTGACGGTTCTGCACCCTCACTGTCTCCTTGAATCCTCCCAACAGTGCATGGGGAGCCGGGGCTCCATCTCACCAAGGAGGGAGCCAAGGCCCAGAGCGGCTGAGTGGCTTTCCCAGCGTCACCCAGTCAGTCTGGGCAGCGCGGCGCTCCGGCCGATCCTGTTGGACTGTGTAGCTCGTGTTGGTCATAACTAAGCCAGAGCCCAGCGTCAGCTCAGGGCAGAGGGAGAGTCGGTGGGAGATTCTGGGTAAACCTGGCAGGAAGTGGCCTGTGGGTTCCCAGGGCGTGGATGGGGGTGGCTCTGGCTGAAACTTTAGTCCCTGCTGCTTTTCCATGCAACTGGGCAGGGGCAGGAACTCCCTGGGGCGTCAGACCCCTGATTCCCTCAGGAGGAGGGTTACGTGGGGGTGGGGCAGGAAGCAGTGGGCACTCCAGGCTCCTGGTTGCTGAGGACAAGCGCAGCGGACCCTTCCCAGGCCTGGGGGGTCTGGAGGCCCAATGCTGGGAGGGGTCCGGAGCATTTTGCTTTGTATTTACTTTATTGGAGTGACGTTGGTTAGTAACATTATGTAGGTTTCAGGGGTAAGTTCTGTAATACATCATGTGTATATTGTGTCGTGTGCTCACCATGCCTGGGACATTTTGGCTCCTCTGTGTCCCTCCTCTCAGTTCTTCCTGCCAAGACCCGGCACTGGGGAGGCTGCGAATGGCCCCTCAGATTTGAGAGTGAGCAGGTGTGCTCGGGGGGTCAGGTTTGCAGGCCCAGGGTCTCCCCTGGACCACCTCATCCACCCTCGGATCCCCTCAAGCCCCTCCCTCAACCCCACACCCAGCCCAGGGACCCGGGGAGGAGACTGGGACTTTGTGGGAAGAGCAGCTCTGCGAGGGGTGACAGCTTTGACAGTGGGCCACTGAGCCACCCGGTCAAGGACCGGGCACGGGCTGGGCCTCCCCACAGCCTTCGGTGCTCAGGCCCCGCATGGTTCACAATCTCTGAGATCTTGTCCCCGAGGGTGGTGGCGCCGGGAGTCCTGCATCCACCTGACACGCAAGCAAACCGAGGCTGGGCAGCCAGCGCGGCTGCAGGGCCGGCCGGGTCTCCTCGGGCAGAGCCAGCTCCAGCCCAGCCCTTTGTCAGAGAAACAAGGGGCTCCTTCTCCCCCCGGCCCCCGTCTCCCGCACCGGCTGGCACTGCCAGGCCCCATCCCCTCCCCGGAGGCCAACTGAAGTGAGATTGTCCCTGAGGCAGAGGAGCTCCCAGCGCTGCTGTGAGTGTGGGGCAGCTGCAGGGAGGGGGCGGGCTGGGCTGGGGTCAGAGCGGTGGGACTGCTGTGTGAGGTGGCCAGTGGGTCAAAGACAGGCCCCCCCTCCGTAAGGGCACAGGGAAGGGGTGGAGGCTGCAGCTGTGTCCCTGCTACAGGACAGAGAAGGGGCACAAGGGGGGTGTCTGCCCCTCCTTGGGACTGTCCGGTTGAGAGCTGGGCAGAGGCCCCTGTGGCTGAGGCGGCCCCTTGACTACTTCCTGGCCTAGGAGGGCGGAGAAGGGAGGACGGTGGTGAGGGAGGGCCGCGGAGTGCACAGACCTCGAGGCGATGGTGCTGCCCCACTTGGTGAGGAAGCAGCTGTGGTGGTGGACGGGGACTGGGAGGGGGTCAGCTGGCTTGGACTCCATTCCTAGCCCTGGACCAACCAGACGTGCAACCTGGGACAAGCTCCTCCCCACGGCCTGGGATTGGATCCCAGCCACTGTCCTCACTGCGAGATCCTTGACCTCCCCGTGCCTCAGTTTCCTTGTCTGTAACAGGAGAAGGAAACCAAATTTCCCTCGTGGGGCAGTTGGAGGCAGAGTGCTCCGCACAGCACCGGCCCACAGTGCATGCTCGGACAGATGTGATTGCTGTTACACAGGGCCCGGTGACATTCATGGAATCTTGGCCAGTACCTCCCGCTCATGCTTGTGTCTGGCGCCTGGCATTTGACGGAACCTGTCAGCCGTGCGCTTTCCTTTGCCTCCTGCAGAGGCCTCAGGGTGCAGCTCTGGCCTCCGGTCTGCACGGCAGCTGACCCTGCCAGCTGCCCATCCATTATCCACTCAGCCTCCAAGTGCCATGCGCTGCTCAAATGCATTATTGTGATTTAACACTCTCACCAACCTTCCAAAGTAGAAACTGTCTACAGATGAGGAAACTGAGGCTCAGAGAGGTTAAGTGACTTGCCTAAGGTCACACAGCCAAGAAGCAGCAGAGCTGGCTGCTCAACCATGAGGTCGTGCCACCTCTTGCAATATCCCTGGGATGAGACCCGCCAGCCGCTGCCAGGACCTGTGTTAAGTCTGGGCACCTGCAGGGGCCCTGCACCTTTCAGGGAGTCTCAGCCCATCCCAGCTGGGGGGGACCTTAGACATCACCCAGGCCAACCCTCTCTAATACTTAAGATGGCGATATTGTGCACAGGGAGATGGAGGCTCAGAGAGGGGAGAGATGTGACCAGGGCCACTTAGTGGGCCAGGGACAGAGTGGGCCCTGCCGCAGGACTCATTCTGTCCTGCCTCCCTCCTCCCAGACTAGCCTGGAGGCCTTAGCCCCCTGTCCTACTGATCCCATCAGAGCTCAGGCTGCCGTGCGGGGCGGTGAGCAGCCCACTGGGAACCCAGCAGGACTGGCGCCTGGAGCAGCCCTCCCTGCCCAGGGCTGTCATGGCCTCCGGACTGGCCTTTCTCCTGCTGGGCCGTGGCCTCCAGGAGCTCAGGGGCTGCCGTCAGCTCGCTTCTGCGTGGCCAGTCCCGGTTCATAAATAGCCAATGCTCCCCGCACGCAGCGCAGCGATAGAGCGATAATGTCCCCCGTCACAGGCCCTGGGCTCCAGGCCAAAGGGCCAACAGGGAACAAGACAGACAAAATGCCTGCCCTCAGGGCAGCTTGCATTCCTGGTAAGAGATAGACAGGTAATGGAAGAACTAAGCAAAAATGCATGATATTTACGATGGCGATAGGTGATACGGAAAACATAAAAGGTGGGGATTTTGCAATTTTAGAGGAGGAGGTCATGGAAAGTCTCTGTAAGGTGATATTTATGACTCCTGAAGATGAAGGGACTGAGGATGCCGGCCAGAGCCACCCGGCATCTGGTGGAAGGGCATCCAGGCAGAGGGAAGAGCCAGTGCAAAGGCCCTGCGGTGGGAGGCACCTGGTGTCTGTGAGGGTTGGGGGTGGCTAGAGCCGGTGGAGAGGGGAGAGCAGGATGCGCGGGCTCAGAGGGTCCTCTGGTGAGGACTTGGGCTTTTACTGAGTGAAGTGGGAGCCATGGCGAGTGCTGAGCAGAGGGAGGGGCAGGATCTGACAGGTTTGAACGGGATCCCTCTGATTACGGAGTTCTGAGTAGAATCTAGTGAGGCAAGAAAAGGAAGAGGCTCCCCAGGCAGCCAGGTAACGTGGCAGTGAGGTGGAGGGCAAACGAGGACGCACCTGAGGTCAGATCTGACGGGACCCACGTGTGAGCAAGCGGAGGGAGGTTGACGCCAGCGCTGGGGGCTGACACCTGCAGCACGCGCAGCAGAAGGAATCCGCTTCTGCCCAGGACCAGGACACTCCCCTTCCAGGCTCCGCTGTGACCCTTCCCTGCTCTGGGCCTCGGTGTCTCCTGCACAAGGGGTGCAATCCCTCTTGTCTGGGCCCCTCCCCGAAGCCCCAGTGCTCGGAAGCGGACACGCGCCTCACCGACCTGTCCCCTGTCCCCTGTCTGCAGGAAGCCAGCGCCAGCGGCCGCCATGGCGTCGCGCATCGGGCTGCGCATGCAGCTCATGCGGGAGCAGGCGCAGCAGGAGGAGCAGCGGGAGCGCATGCAGCAGCAGGCCGTCATGCACTACATGCAGCAGCAGCAGCAGCAGCAGCTGGGGGGGCCACCCACCCCAGCCATCAGCACCCCCGTCCACTTCCAGTCTCCACCCCCTGTGCCCGGGGAGGTGCTGAAGGTAGGGCTCACTCCGGCCTGTCCCCTCCTGCCCATCCCAGAACACACTCGAGCCGCCTTCTCCCCCGCCAGGTGCAGTCCTACCTGGAGAACCCCACCTCCTACCACCTGCAGCAGTCCCGGGACCAGAAGGTGCGGGAGTACCTGTCTGAGACCTACGGGAACAAGTTTAATGCCCACGTCAGCCCCGCCCAGGGCTCCCCGAAGCCCCTGCCAGCCGCCTCCCCGGGGGTGCGGGCTGGCCATGTGGTGTCCTCCTCAGCGGGCAATAGTGCGCCCAACAGCCCCATGGCCATGCTGCACATCGGCTCCAACCCTGAGAGGGAGGTGAGTGAGGAGCTGGCCCGTGGCTGCCACCAAGGTACTGCCCTCAGGGAGCCCCAGTCTGAGGGGGACACGGCCCTGTCCTCAGGGAGCCCAGCCTGCTGGGAGACTCACAGGAAACCTGCACAGCCAATCTCCCTGGGCAATTTGGCTCCTTGGGAGGAGGCCTGGCTGGGCCCTGGGGCTGTGGGACTTGGAAGCTCATGGGCTCCCCGCCCCCCCATCAGGAGGTGGAGCAGGGTGGGCTCCACGGTGCCTCAGGGCAGGGCTGCCGGGCCCCTGCCCTGGCCTCCTGGTGGGCCCGCCCCAGCAGACTTTTCTCTTTCAGTTTGACGTCATCGACAACATTATGTGTCTGGACGACGTCCTGGGCTTCATCAATCCTGAGTCTCAGATGCCCAACACGGTACTGCTGGCCAGGGAGGGTGGCGGTGCCAGAGGGAGAGGCGGTGTCCGAGGGAGGGGCTGCGTTCCTACCTGGCTCTGAGTCTGGAGAGAACTAGAACCGGGGTCGCCTCCATCAAATCATGTAACGAGGACCGGGGCCCGGGAGCACTGGAATCCCGAGGGGCGTGCGTCCACCTGCATACACCATGGGGCTTCAGCAGGGACCAGCGCCTGGGTCGTTGGGGAGGCTCCCTGGTGGGGTGGGGGCAGGAGGCACGGTGCTGGGAGACTCACAGGGGGGCAGGGAGCACTCTGGGGGGCAGCAGTGGCCACAAGGAGGCCCAGAGCTTGTGAGCTCCTTTGGGTCCCGGGGCTCCCCTCCTCGCCAAGCCGAGGGCCCAGCGGGCACAGGCCCGGGGCCTCACTCCGTGGGGCGAGTGACATGGGCGGCTCTGTCCCCTTCCTCCAGAGCCTCTGGCAGCGAGCACGCTGGGCAGAGGGAGGTGGCAGGTGGGACGGAGCCAGGCTTGGAATCAAGAGGCCTGGCTTCTGGCTTTGGCTGTGACCTTGGGAAGTCTCTTCACTCTTTGAGTCCTTGCTCTCAGCTGCAAAATAGGGAAGATGCCTTCTACTCACAGGATGGTGGGAAGATTAGACACAGCAAGAAACGGGGGGCTAGCTGCGCACAAAGGTGACATGTGTTTACACCGAGCAGGTGAAGTTGCAGGCGTCCCCGCCCCTTCTTGGAGGTTCTGAGCCTCTGCTGTCCACTGCTGCCCCTTGGGCCTGAGCCTGCCGCCCTGGTCCCCGGCCCCTGCCACTGTGGAAACTCCACGCCCCCCACCCCCCCATCTCACAGTGGGGACACAAGGAGTTCCTCCTCAATTCCCAGCCAACAAGACGTTGCCCAGTAGCTCAGCAGGAGCTGCCCAGGGCCAGTTGGGCCGGAAACCGACTGCCAGCAGGGGCACGAGGTCTAGGGAGGGAGAGAGGACCCGTGCCCGTCCGTGTAGTGGTCTCTGTGCCCTGTGGGTGCCTGTGCCCGTGAGGGCTCTGGGCCTGTGATGTGCTCTGTATGTTTCTGTGGCAGGAGCTGGGGGAGCCCAGGTCTGTTCCTGCCAGGCACTTGCTTAC